TGTTCCGAGGGGGCTGCACCCCGTGGGAGGGACCCACGCTGGAGCAGCTCGTGAAGAACTGCAGCCCATGGGAAGGACCCACATTTGTGGAGGACTGTCTGCTGTGGGAGGGACCCCACGCTGGAGGAGGGGATGAGGGAGGAGTCCTCCCCTGAGGAGGAAGGAGCGGCAGAGACAACGCATGATGAACTGACTGCAACCCTCATTCCCCATCCCCCTGCACTGCTCAGGGGGAGAAGGTAGAGAAAATTGTGGGTGAAGTTGTGCCTGGGAAGAAGGGAGCGGTGGTGAGAAGGTGTTTCAAGATTTGGTTTTATTTCTCGTTAACCTACACGCGTTCTCACTCCTCTCTCCTACTCAGTTTTGATTGGCAATAAATTAACCTGGTTTTCCCCAAGTCGAGTCTGTTTTGCCCTTTACAGTAGTTGGTGAGTGATCTCCCTGTCCTTATCTCAACCCACGAGCTTTTTTGTTATATTTTCTCTCCCCTGTCCAGTTGAGGAGGGGAGTGATAGAGCGGCTTTGGTGGGCACTTGGCATCCATCCAGGGTCAAACCACCACATAACCTTTGTGAGTATTTGATATGCAGCACACGCAGTCTCAGCGATCAAATTCCACTTTTTTCAATCAAAAGAACTGCCAGCAACTTCAGATGTTGTTTGCAGTGAAGATTAAAAAAAAGGGACAATGAAGATACTTCTGCACATAAAACTTCTCTTCCTTGAGTCACGTTAGACTTTTCAAGGGGCACCAAGAATTCAGGCTTAGGAGCCTTTTGGGTAGGAGGATGTGGATGCAAAGCATGGATTGTAGCCCACGGATGCTAAGTCATGGTGTGAACAATGTGTGTAGCATGGTAATTTTGGTAAATGTCAGAATATTTTCAGAGGAAAGCTAATGTTTGTTAACTGTGTTTCCAATATGGAGGAGCTGTAATGGAGATAACATAATCCAGAATTTTTTAAAAATATCTATGGTTCTGCATTCATTTGTATTTATGCTGATGAGACCACAAACTTGATGAGATCACAGCAATATGGCCTGACCTGGATGGTGGTTCTGAATAAAAGAGGTTCTGACTCATAGCAGTGGAAGTTATGGGAGTCTTCTCGTTTTCTGTTAACTCTACCAGCAAGTTTGAGAGAGTGAGGGAATGGGCTGTTCTTTGAAGTCATCGATTTGCAGATGTTTTCCTGCTAGGAGACATTTTAGTAGGTGTTAGTAGAGAAGAGACTAGGGAAGGGCGGAAGTGCCATGGTGTAAATCAGACTAAATCATCTGAATACCCCTAGTACAGCTAGTGTGTAATGCCTCACTGAAGGGGGACCTCCTACCAGAGTGAGCTTCTTGGTAATTTCACCCTCAGCTCTCATTCAATGTCCTGTGTGCATACTTCAGTCCGTGTCTGTTCATCAAAACGCCTAACTCGGTGCTTGAATTTGTGCACGCAGCTTTGGGATCTAGGACATCTAGTAAAGCCTTGCTGGTGTCAGTGAAGCGATTCTGTGCATGTAGAATAAGGTTGACCAAGCTGTGGTTCTTCAGGTGTGTGCGGTACTAGAGAAACTGCCCCATGCTGCCACTGTCTCAGGACACACTAGGTTTCTGATGAGGACTTCTACAACCTCTTGAGTAGAACCAAAGTGCTGCTAGTTTGGCTTTTGTATGAGGCATTTAGCTCTTCTGTGGCAAGAGAAGATAGGAAGAATCCCACTTCTCTATCACCATCGCATGTAGCCCTGCAGGCCACAGTCTCATGCTGTTGCTGATGATTAACGAGATTGTTCTCTGCTGATAAGTGTAGCAGGGTCTCATGGAGCACAGAAAAGCAATGGAGTTGCACCAGGTTAACGTTTCACTACAAAGCTGGCTGAGACCAGACTTTGAACCAGTATTTAAAGCTACAGCAATCTGTCCAGACCCTCCGAGATTAACAAATAAATTCAAATTAGGCCTGTCTCACTTGGCCGCCCCCTCCTCCTCTGAAAGAGCAGCAGTCAGTTAAGAATTAACATGTAGCAATGTGACTTTTCTTTCACAATCAGGCTTTTGCTGTACCATTTCCATCAATTTTGGCTTCCACATTATTCAGCTGTGCACCAGACAACTCCTTTGTTATGTGCCAATTAACCCAGCTTGATAAATAGTGATTATGCATAATTTATACAGAATAATATTCTTCTTGTTCCCTGTAAATAAGGCACTGGCTTAGCTGAGGCTACTGGTCTGTGAATTACTGTCAGATGTGATCGTGAAGGTCCAGGAGGCTGGTAGCAAGGACTCTTGACTGTAAGGCAGATAGAAATGAAGCCAAGAATAAAACTAGGTGTGGGGGTGCTTTTGTTTTTGTAAAGGAAGGTGGGATTTTGGTGTTGCAGTTCTGTAGTTTGTTCTTTCAATGTACTGAATAGGCCTCTCGGTTCTAGTCCAGCTCTCACTGAAGTCTACGGGAGCTTCTCCAGTGATGTTGGTGGGTACTTGATTGGACCCCTAAGGAGCATCTGCAAATGATTTCCCTGGCTGCTGAAGCCAGGTTTTCACAGCCATTCTGTTTCCTCTTCTGTATTAACTGATCTGAAGTCTCTCAGGCTGATAAGCTGACAGCAGTGGGACACAAGGAGTGGGTGAGAATTGCATAGCCCCATGAACCTTGAGTAAACAGGGGGAAGGAGATACAGAACTGTGAAATCCAGTCCACCGGTCCGAGATGTACTTGCAGTGACAGTGCTTGCTGGAATACTATTGCAGAGCCTCCAGGAAAGTGTTAGGGACTGTTGCTTTGGGTGAACTGGGCTGTCTGTCAGCCAGCACCATGCTCTGCGTACATAGAGCCAACTGGAAACCCTGCGGAGCCGGAGGCTGCTTGCACAGCTGCTGTTTTGGCGATCACACCCCCTTTCTCCTTGGACAACCTTAATCCTGGCCTTTACCTCGTGGTGAATTTTACCCAGTTCAGTGATTCCAGGTGTGTTTGCCATTTTGCTTCTTCTGTCTCATCCTCTGTAATACATCTCCACAGGCCTATAAATGGCACCACCTCAGCAGACTCAGCTCATCTTTCATCACGCTGCCAGAGCCTTCTTTTGATTTATTGCCTTTCACCACAGTGGCCCAGAATGAAGTCAACCTCTGAAATCACTTAGGGAGGGATCTGCTGAACAAGCATACATTTAATAATATGCCTCCGCCTTTTTACTTCCTCCATGCTGGGATGTTCCAATGAAATAAGAAATCCCTTCGGTGTATCAGAGTGCTGGAGATAGCTGCTGCTGATTTGCAGCTCTGAGGCGCAGCATTGCCTTTAACTGCTGCGCTTCGATTCAGCCCCACATTCTGCCTAACATCCTCAACTGCGAAATGCTGCCGTTCTCTGATGGGTGTGACTTATCTATTTTTTCTTCATACCACAAAATACTTGCTTTTCTCTTAGCCTGTTGTTTAAAGTATTGACTAAATAGGTGAGATAGATTGTCTCTGAAGATGATACCGATAGCTACTTGGATACTCCCTGGTCTACCACATCTTGTCAAATTCACGTT